CGGAAGAAAGTCAGGCTCGCTAATTCACAAGCGCGCACAAGATCTAAGGGACCTAGAATGAAATGCCTGAAGTTTTAACCAAGCAAAATACCTGCTTACCACTAGTCATAAAACCAGTAAGCTTTGTCAACTTTTCCTTTAAATTAAGTGCAAGTTGCCTGTTGTCTACCATTAAGTGGTGTTGATAAATATCTTAAGAGTTTTGAAAAAGGCTCATACCATAAATTATAAAAATAGGGTTAAGTTTAAGTTGTGTTTGGTAACAATTGTTTCAAGAAATTTTTTCTCAAGTTTTAGTAAATGTTTTCATGTACTCCTAAAGGGATCTTTTAAAAAACTGTATTATTGGGCTAGAGGAAGAATAGACACCACAAATTTTAAGAACTTGTTTATCGTAACTTGTGCTACTAGTTGATACTGACTACTTCAGGGGGCGGGGGGCAAACCAAAAATAAACAACAGACTTTGAGTAGCTTTCCAAACAGGACATGAACAACTGTTGTAAGGCAGAATTCATAATTCTGGCACATGTAGATGCATCCCGATTAGAATATAACTACTATTTGCACAGTATACATTATTCTTGGTTTTGCTTCAATATAAATTACTTCCCTGAAGTTACCTACTCCATTGGTATCCCCGCAGCTTGCATAAGTATTATGCAGTGTTCGGTGAAAAAAGCTCACTTTTTCAGTTACTAACAAAAATATTTCTAATGAGTACAATTTAGGTTTAAGACCAGATATTTTGCGTCTTTCCAGAAATGCTACCATTTGTTTAGTCTACATCCTACCAACCGGAAAACAAGACTATGATACAGGAAACCCAAGAGATGGTCAGCATCTACTTTAATGTTAGGTTACCACCTTGCTTCTTGTATTGAATGCCACGGCTGAAATTCTCAGTCAGATGGAAAAGAGGGCAGCTTCAGTGTCAGCTGCACTGCATTCTTCCTTTGCTAGAGAGGATTTCTTATATTTTTACTTATCTTGTCTATTCACACAGTGCTTTCCAGATATTTGGAACAGCATTTTCCACATTAATGGGAACCTGGATAATAACATACTGTGCCATCCACTCTGAAAATCTTAAAGTCTGATTTCAGAGAGTTGTTCACCTGTCTTAAACTACAACTCTTACAGATGGTTTGAACTAGGACTTCCAAGAGCATGAGTGATTACAAAAAAACAGAATTAAAAGCCGCAAAGAATAGTAATCACTACCAATCACAAAAAAAAAAATCTATTAAATAACTTTGTGTCCATTACAGCACTGCACTGGTGAAACATCGTCTCAAACTAGTGAAGAGTTAATAGGATTATCTACACGCAGTGTTCCAATTGTACAGGGAAATACTTTTACAAGCTAGTTTGCAGCAAAATATTGTTATACATACTTTACTCCTAAACTACAGAGAAGTAATTTACTAAATTACAAGACAAACCCCATTTTTAAACTGTATCTGAGCAAATATAGTACTTAGTTTGAGGTACACTCACAGACCACCACCCCTTGCAACGGAAACTCTAACATCTGATTTTTATCATCAACATTGTAAGATGGGTCAACACTAAATTACTTTCAGATGTCAGAAATGAAAGTCCTAACTGTAATACAGAGGACTTGCATAAACACAAAGATTACACACAGTAACAATTTATGTTGTTATTAAACATTCAGAATATACTGAAAGTCAGATATCTTCTTAATATATAAAATACTGTGACAGACCAAGCTAACACTAATATTGAAAAACTAAACACACATTCAATTACCATTTTAACTACAACTTAATTGTACAGTTAAGTACTGTACTATCCAGAAACCTCAGACGCCACAGTCATTAAAATGAGACTCTCTGGAATACAAAATGTACTGATTATAGCATGCTTAATATGACATATTCAGAATAGATTTACAATTTACATGCTTTTTTTTTTTTTAAAAGAAACTATTATTTCATTGCATCTTTGCTGGTAAATTACCTAGACAATCATGATGCAATAAAAACAAATCCAAATCTATCTGCCTATGCAGACCCCACAAATTCTTGTAATTCTGGATATACCTTAACTAATTTATCTTAGCAATAAAGATTTTTTTAACACATTGATTCCTTTTTTCCCCTCCCTCTGTAATGGTTATACTTTGTTATTGGCTTTTTGCTTAGGTTTATTTATTTATTTATTTATTTGAAAGCATGTAACAAAAAAACCTCACAATGTCAGCTGCATCTCCCATACAGTTCCATTAATGTTACTAAAATTGCTCACTTCCTCCAAACAAGAGTTCAGGTGATTGATCTGACACCATTAATGAGTCTCAGTAAATGCTGAATCTCACATTCCACTCGCTAGGATAATTTTAGTAACTCTAATCCCAGATTTTGCACCACAGTGAATATTTCCCAAATGTAACTATTTATAGGATAATAATTTTAGACAGAAAACATTTTTTCCCTTCTGACATCCCCCAAAGAAGGAGTTATAACAACTTAAAAACAATAAAAGACAAAGTAATTATTCTTACTTTGGATCTTTAACATTTTCCTATAAGTCACTATGCTTTCTATGAGAAAAGATTTTGCAATTAACCAGGTTTTACAAAGGATGTTTACAAAAATAATAATGGACTTCAGCATACAAAGCAGACCAAGTCCTTAACTTTTATTTTTGAGAGTTACTTCTCTGGAGTACTGCTCAGCAGGCGATAAACTTTTGTTCTTTTAAACAGACTCCAAAACATAGTTTAAAACTTTAATTCCTTAAAGACTGTATCCGTGATAATTCACAGATGTGGACCTGCATTACTAGACATTAACACTGTCTTTCAACTTCTGGTATTTTGTTTTTCAAAGCATTTATTGGATAGAGAGAAAAAAACCCAACCCAAACAAAAAACTCCCCACTTCAAAAAAATCTTTAATGCTGACCACAAGGGCATCATTCCGACTCCTCCCAGAAGATGGCACTGTTTATTGTACAATATTATCTCTTCAAGACATGGGTGCTTAGCCCTATTTGCACCACACTACTAGTACTGCTCAAAATCCTGCTACCCCCTCATACCCTAAACTTGCAACAGTCGCCTGCCACCTCTCTTCAAGGCGTAAGTTACAGAAGTGGTCAGGACCCTTCAGATATGCTGTCACGTCCTTCATCCTCTGGTAGCAAGCTCTCCGCTTGAACATTATTCACCAACAGCCAAGCCCTCAAACTTTCAAGAGCTGGGACAGAGCAATGGGCGCATGGTTTTGCCTGCCATATCCTCTCTCTTCCTCGCTGACAGATGATCAAATGAGGCACACCGATGCAATCTATCTTAGCTCCAGGCATTTCTGCAGGTACTCGCTGTTAAAGCAAAGACGGGTTGCATCAGGGATACAAAGGCAATCTCTAAAGGGACAGTACATTACCTGTACAATAGCTACAACAAAGCTCAGTCATTTGTACCAAGAGGAAGCTACTTTGAGCAAACATCAATAAGGTCACTTAAAACCAGTTTTGCATTACTAAGTTGAAGCTCAAGTGATTGACTCAAACCTCTCATCCTCTTAAATCTCCAGTGATTTCCTTGTATTTCTCATGTACAATCTAACGTGCAGATTAAGGAAAAAACCTTAAATGGTATCTTGAAAGATAATTCTTTAAATGTAAGCACTTGCAACTGCTCATTGAATACAAATACTGAAGAGATGCAAGCAGTAAATCCTAACAAAGCCAACTGCGCAGAGACAACAATGGTTACCCTGTTTTTGGAACACATAGCCAGTACTCCTCACAGTAGCTCAGCTCTACTTGGGCTAGCAATAAAAGACCTGAAGGAGACCAAATGCTGGTGACCACTATCATTTTAAGTAATTTGTTTTCTCATCTTTATCAGAGTAGGATTAACAGTCACAAGGTTCAAAATGCTAGTAACAACTACAAGTGTCACCTACATGAAGTCTCTGGGGAAACACTTCCCAAAATAAAACTATTTCAAAAGAAATACACAACACTGACCATACTGATGCCCAGTTAAAAACCACAATTCTTTCTCTAACATTGGGTGATACTGCTTGTTTCAAAAAAAAAAAAAAAAAAAAAAAAAGGAATGCAGTTACGTAATAAACTGCTATTAGTAAGAGCTTGTTTCATGTCATGAAATAGAGAGCTCAGATAAAGCACTCCATTTAATTCTTCTAATGACTTCTTTTCATTATCAATGTCTAAGCTATACTTCAACCTCCGATACCCCGAAATCCTCAGAGAATTCTTTTGTTTAACTAATGCTTCTGAAATTATTATTAGGCACTCCAATGCCTCAGATTCTTATTCGCATGCAGTGTGCCCTTAAGCCTATCATACAGTTTAGCTTCTTATTTGTACACAAAACACACACACACTAGGTAGGTATGGTATCAAGGTGGAAGACAGACAGGCCTACAAACTCCAAATGGAAGTGCATTCACTGTGCTATGTCAATGAAGACTTCAGAAGACGACGACAGTCTTCAGAGGTGACAGGTAGACTGTTTCATTCTGTGTACAGTCTGAGAAGCCTATAATAAATTACAACAGTAAGGAAAGATACTATCTTAAAAGAAAAGAAGGATCAAGTAGCAATGTTTACTAAAGAGCACAGATCAACACGCTAGCATCCTGTGGAGTCAGTCAGTACCCTTACTGCCCTACCATACTGCTGCCAGACCCAAACTGACCCACACGGAAGGCGACTGCAGCTGAGTTAATTCACAAACCAAATAATCCACTCACTCGTACGATAGCAGGGATACCTTATGCTAACAGAGCTCCTTGAGCCTCACAGTCTTACCTGGCTAAGTCCCAGAATGTACTCTGATTATTACCAACGCTGGCAGGGAAGGCTTTCAGTGTCTCTGTACAAACATATATACTTGTCCTGTATAATGCTCATTTTCCTTTTAAAGTAACTACTTTGGAAAATATAACAAATATAA